GAACTTGAGGCCTGTAACCTGGCAGCCACAACAAGTGGGAACCCATAATCAGGAAGGCCTGACAAGGCCTAACACCCGATAGTCCCAATGCATGGGGAGCTCACATTCAGGAAGGCCGCTGAGGCCTGCAGCCTGACATGTGAAGACTCACCACTACAACTTAGCGACCACGAAAAGTGGGGGTTTCACATTCAGGAAGGCCTGGTGAAGCCTGCAACCTGACATGTGACAACTCATAACCAGGAAGGCCAATGAAGCCTGAAGCCTGGTGACCACAGAGTGGGAGCAAAGTGCTCAGGAAAGGTGGTGAGGCTGTAGTCTGGCTACCGCAGCATGTGGGAGCCCACATTCAGGAAGGCTGGTGAGGCCTGTAAACTGACTACCACAGTATGTGGGAACTCATAACCAGGAACTCATAACCAGGAAGGCCCCTTTGAGGCCTGTAACCTAGCGACCACAATGTGTGGGAGCTCATAACCAGGAAGGCCTGGTGAGGCCTGTAACCTGGCGACCACAGAAAGTGGGAACTCATAACCAGGAAGGCCTGGTGAGGCCTGCAGCCTGACATGTGAAGACTCACCACTACAACTTAGCGACCACGAAAAGAGGACCTGGAAGATACTGCTTGGAGGATAACTTTGATGCATGCAACGTCCGCTTGGAGACCAATGCTCGCTGGACAGAGAAAATAATCAATTAGGGGTTTTAGCAGGAATAATAATTGTAAATAGTGATGTACTGGAGAGAAAACATCACTGTTATAGCAGTGTAGAAAATTAGCCAGAAAACAGAGCTCTTGCGGGAGCAGAGGAGACATCACTGCTGGGGCAGTGTAGAAAATAAGCCAGAGAAACAGAGCTCCAGTGGGAACGGAGTAGACTTCACTGCTGTGGCAGTGTAAAAAATTAGCCAGTGAAACAGAGACCCTGCGGGATCAGAGGAGACGTCACTGCTGGGGCAGTGTAGAAAATTAGCCAGAGAAACAGAGCTCCTGTGGGAGCCGAGGAGACGTCACTGCTGGGGCAGTGTAGAAAATTAGCCAGAGAAACAGAGCTCCTGTGGAAGCAGAGTAGACATCACTGCTGTGGCCGTGGAGGAAAATTAGCCAGAGAAACAGAGCTCCTGTGGGAGCAGAGGAGACATCACTGCTGTGGCAGTGAAGAAAATTACCCAGATAAACAGAGCTCCTGTGGGAGCAGAGGAGACGTCACTGCTGGGGCAGTGTAGAAAATTAGCCAGAGAAAACAGAGCTCCTGTGGGAGCAGACTAGACATCACTGCTGGGGCAGTGTAGAAAATTAGCCAGAGAAAACAGAGCTCCAGTGGGAGCAGAGGAGACAACACTGCTGTGGCAGTGTAGACAATTAGCCAGAGAAACAGAGTTCCTGTGGGAGTAGAGGAGACATCACTGCTGTGGCAGTGTAGAAAATTATCCAGAGAAACAGAGCTCCTGTGGGAGCCGAGGAGAAGTCACTGCTGTGTCAGTGTAGAAAATTAGCCAGAGAAACAGAGATCCTGTGGGAGCAGAGGAGACGTCACTGCTGTGGCCGTGGAGAAAATTTAGCCAGAAAAACAGAGCTCCTGTGGGAGCAGAGGAGACATCACTGCTGTGGCAGTGAAGAAAATTACCCAGAGAAACAGAGCTCCTGTGGGAGCAGAGGAGACGTCACTGCTGTGGCCGTGGAGAAAATTTAGCCAGAAAAACAGAGCTCCTGAGGCAACAGAGAAGACATCACTGCTGTGGCAGTGTAGAAAAATTAGCCAGAGAAACAGAGCTCCTGTGGGAGCAGAGGAGACGTCACTGCTGGGACAGTGTAGAAAATTAGCCAGAGAAAACAGAGCTCCAGTGGGAGCAGAGGAGACATCACTGCTGGGGCAGTGTAGAAAATTAGCCAGAGAAACAGAGCTCCTGTGGGAGCAGAGGAGACGTCACTGCTGTGGCAGTGTAGACAATTAGCCAGGGAAACAGAGCTCCAGTGGGAGCAGAGGAGACATCACTGCTGTGGCAGTGGAGCTCTGCACAAGTTCACGCACAATCGGGGAAACGTGGAGGCAAAATGACAAAATAATTCATCAGAATACCTAGCAAAATTGTCTCCTTTTCCTAGCTCATGGACAGCTCCTATTCACACTCTCCGCCTCTGCATGTTTCAGAAGGGAATGATTCAGATTTCTCATGCTACAGCACTAGAAGACAGACGGGTCACTCACGTCACATCTACGTAGTCAAGCTCTGTTTGAGTCTGCGCGTCAGGGACGGAAGTGCTAAAAAATCGCCAAAAACGGGCTTCAATCGTCTCAATGGAGTTCCAATAAGATCACTCTGTCCATTTATTTTACTGTCTATGGTTTGCACTAAGGGCTCAGTCCACTGCTCACCCCTCCCTTTCGAAGAAGCTATGGTGGCTAAAACGGGACAAACATCTTGTCGCCTGAGACAGCAGAGAATAGCCACAGCAAGCCAAGAGTGTGTAACATTGTCACTGTTTCTGAACCACAGTCCATTATAAACCACATCATGGATATAGTTTACAAAGCCATAGTCAGGTGAGGATCAAGGGTTTTAATATATAATTTAATAAAATAATAATCAGCTGATTGTCTCACAAACAAACCAGCACATTTCTTCCCACATAGCAAACCCATAATACAGCGAGGGAGAAGAACCACATGAAACTATGCAGCTACATATTTTTTATAATAGGGTAGTAAAAGTTTAGCTGGCTAATATGAGCTGTTACTGGGGCTGAGCTGGTTAAAGCGTAAAGCCTTGTTTAAATTTGACGCGTCCGCATGAGTCAAAAGGTGTGCGCGGCAAAAACGGCATGATTGTAACAGCACGCGCACCTCCGCATCCCACAGACACCATTCACTACACACAATAGGCTTTTTTCTCTGATTATGAAAACTCTTCGACTTATCGACTTAGAGCTCTTCCAAAATCGATGGGTTAGTGATTCCTGTAACATACTGTTTTAGGGTCAATGACATGAGTATTAATCAGCTGTGTCACGAACATACAGTAACCAGCACATTTATCCCCACATAGCAAAGCCATAACACCGCGAAGGAGAACTAGGTTACATGAAATAATCCAACTACATATTTTACACCACTGACAAAGGAAAAGTCACTACTCATGGTGTCTATGGCTTCTAGGTTTCTGCGGCTTCTCTTTCAAGGTAGTGACGAAACACATTCTGTAGCGCTGTTTGTTCGCTGTCCGCTACGGTAGAAACATAACGTCACAATATGTCGACCTTCATAGCAGGGGTTATGTAGATATAAATGTCTCATTCTAAGGTAATAAAAACATTACGGTTTATTAAGTTCTTTATACACCACTGAAAACATAGTTATGGATGTCATTTGCATTTCTGTTAATAGATAATCAACATATTTACACATTGCACCTTTAATGGAAATTGAAAATGGACTAAATGAACACTAAAGTGACACCACACTGACTAATCTACCAGTTGTTCTTTTCATAGTTAGTAGCCTATTGTGAAACGTAAACCCATTTGGAGCATGTAAATCTGAAAAGTGTAATGTGGATCTGATCTGATCCTATTTTGCTTTGGAGGAAAGAATTGATTACCTGAACCTGGAAAGCAAACAATGGGATTTCCAAATTAAGTTCATTCTGATCCAGATCAACCTTTTTGAACTGGGCACTAAACCCAGGTTCTCATTCACATTCTGATTGAGAAAATTTTGTTGTGTGGTATTATTTCTTATATATAATTTAACTTAAACAATCCGTGCTAAATACTACTAAAATAAACAAATGTAAGAGCATGCTTTATCAGTCAAGCTGTGGTTGTGAATCCATGAACCCATAACTACAGGGTGAGAGTCAACACTACAAACACAGCAGCGTCCCCTGGTGGTAGATTTTGTCAGTCCAACAACACTCCTATGCAGTATTTTAGAGTAAAATAATAGCTAAGTTTTAAAGCTGTTTACATGTTGTATCGCAAATCAAAAAAAAACAGGTAACACTTTATTTTGATAGTCCACTTTAGACATTCTACAAATAAGTAACTTTTCAGCTACATGTAAATTAGAGTATTAGCAGAATGTCAGTAATATGCTAACACTTTATTTTGTTGGTCCCCCAACAGACATTCAACTGACTTTAAGTAACTTGGCGACTACAAGTAAACTTATTCTCCTAACCCGAACCCTAACACCTAACCATAACCTAACAGTCTACTGACAGTCTACTATAATATACTAACACTCTAATGAGAGTTAGTTGACATGTAGTTGAAAATTTACTTATAGTTAGTAGAACGTCTAAAGTGACTATCGAAATAAAGTGTAACCAAAAAATATTGTTTCTCTTATAAAGACAAAGCCTTCAGTAAAAGAACACGAGACACCCACTACATAATTAATGAACAAAGCTAGTCATAATGCAGAAGAATGCCTCAGGAATCAATAAGATAAACGAAAAAAAAAATACTGAGGGGATTAAAATACGGATGAATTTAAGTGCTGCCTTAGTGCTGTATTCATATCAAATCCATAACTTTATTATATTATTTTTATGGGGAAAAGTTTTAGTAATTGCCGATGAATTGCATCAGAGAATATAATATTCAAGAATATACATGTAAAATAGAATAATAAAAAATATTCAGGACCGAAAAAGAAACTCTTCAACCTGCATTATTCTTGAGCCTGTTGAAGGACACAGTTGAGTTATTGGAAAGTTTGGTAACACTTTACACAATAAGGTTAATGTGCATTAGGCTAACTCATGTAGACACATATAGGCTACAACCTTTGATTTTAATAACGTATTAGTAAATGTTGTTCATTTTTAGTTAATATTAACGCTAATGAACCTTATAAAGTGTACCGAAAGTTTGAATAAATGGATGTTCAAACTTTGAAGAGAGATTTAGGAGATTCCCCCTTCCATATAGCCCTTTGAGTACCCACTATAAATGTAACGTATTATTATTATTTATTATTATGTCAAGAGCTCACCGCTGCTCTCCAGGAGTGCCGTTACGGTCCCGTCCCCGTGCAGGATGATGGAAGCCAGATCTCGGATGAGGACGCGTCGCGCAGGCGCTCTCGGCTCGCCCAGCTCTCCCAGCTCCCTGCAGCACTGGAAACACACTGCCCAAGCCTGCTCCTCATTGATGGGCTGCTCATAAGACTTCAACACCTCCTCCAGAGACAGTTCCCTGATCTCTCCTCTCTCCGCGGGAGCACATACCCTTGAGTCTCCGTCCTTCCCGCTTCTGTTCGCTGATCTGGCCATGACGAGGACGGTTTTTAGCCTAGGATCCTCTTGAACGTGTGTGAGAACAGAATGATGATTCTGCGGTTCATTGGTAAAGCGTCAGTCAGTGATGAGGAGACGAGCGGAGGCGGAAGGACATCTCTCGGAATGCGCAATTATAGCTAAACATAGAACATAAGCGTGAAATAAAACTTCTTAACAGTATATTGCATCCATTTGTGTGTTGTTGTGTGATGCATCTTTCGCATCGGTCAAGTTTCCTGCATCATGTCTGAATGGGTGTCGTTTTCTGCATCCTCTGCAAAGTGTTTCTGAGCTCCACCCACATAGCCTACTGGACCAATGAAGCAGATCAGCTCAACTTGCAGTGGAACTATTAGCATATATAAATAACCTAAGGGGATCTGGAATCTGGAATATTGTTTTAGGCTATAGCATATCTGTTTTTTGTTTTTGTTTTTAAATGGAATATAACGGTTATTACGTTTTTTTAAGAATCTAAAAATTAAAATCAAAACAAAACCAAAAATCAAAGTCTGCTGTTGTGACAACTGAAAGGATGGTTTTGTTTGTAAGGCATGTTCCTGGATCAACATTCTGAAAACATAATCGTAGCCCTGTCTATCCCTAAATCAAAGGGAAATGATGAGTAGCCTGCCCTAAAGGGTCAACTTGACAAAATCTGTAAACTTGACCTCAAATCTGATTGGTTGATATACTTGTGGGAACATGCTGTACTTTGGTGAAATCACATCCACCAATAGAAAACATGGATGGTTAAAATACATGAATGTATTGTGGTTATTTAAAGGAGCATTTAACCCATTGCAACATTAATCTTTATTGAAAGTGGAACATGTATGTAGTCGAAAAGTAAAAGCATTTTTTAATTTGGTGCCCTCTTGACAGAGAAAAGAAAGAAAATAACCAAGGGGCGCATTTGTATTAAAAGACTACAGGTCCCACAATGCCCCGCATTGCACAGCTCCACAAGCCACACCCGCTAATCCGGAACAGCGCAAACTGAGAATTCACTCTTCCGTCTACAACGCTAACATTAGCTGTCACCAGAGTCTGAAATTCATTTCACACAAAATGTCTTGTTAGTTGGCTGTGGCGAGCAGGACGATCAAGGGAGAGGGATGTAAGAGGACGGCGCGCTGCACGAGGCCGGTGGCGTGAGTGATAATGAAAGACACCTGTGAGGTGCGCGCCGGTCTCGCGTCTCTAACGGAGAAGCAAAAGCATAAAATGGGGAGCAACGACGGCAGATCGAGAGAGAAACAGACGTGATTTTATGTTTTGTTTCTGTTGTGTGTAATGCTGGCTTATACTTTCGTTTTGTATTTGTTCATTTTACTATTAAAATGTTTAAATGTTTGCCGGTTCATGCCTCCTTCTTCCCACAACAACAAACCCCGTTCACGTTACATTGGCAAATTAATAGTGAATTGCTCCTGGTTTGTATTTATTTCTGTATGATGAATTACTGCATGATACCTGGATGTTCTGTAGGCGAAACTATCACAACACAAACATCTGTGTGCTCGTCTGATTGAGAGACTTCCTCCAGGAGCCATCCATATTGCCATCGTTGAAATTCTTCATCATTCTTTCCTTTACTGTCTATGGATATCTAGCCTTTATATAGATATCTATGGGTCTCACATCCTTGAATAATAATGAGCTAATGTTTTTAGTCTCTTGTCATTTCAATGAAATATGACTTCCTGCTTATCGTAACGCAAAATTATGATTTTTACGTCACGATAAACAGGAAATAAAATACTTAAATCCTTATTTCTCCCACCTCAGGGGAAAATAAGGGAATGAACCATGATCATTCAAAAAATAAGACTGGGTATCTAAAGATACATAGCTTAATGCAAATGGGTGAAGTGACCCTTTAAATTAAAAGGTAAAGTAATGGGAAATATGTAATTTCAAAACATCAAATATAACAAATAATTAACATGGGCTAAAAACTAAATTAAACCAGACGTGAAATGTGATCTTATTTCAAAGTTAAATCCAAAATAAATCATTATTTTAAAACAGCAACTTTTACTGTCGCCTCAGAGAGGCAGTGTTGGGTCAGATATGATAATGATTTCACTATAGCACTTTTCTTATTAAAACATGTTGCTTAAAATAAACCGATGGTGTTACAGATCTCCCTTACGACTAAAACCCTTAAGTGTTTGGATGCACACATAGGCGGCGAGCTACATAAGCCTACCGTGCTTATTGGTAGGTGTCTAAAATTATCATAGTTAAGGCTTTATGTTGACATAATGAGCCCATTTCATGCATAGGCCATGACCATTCGCCTATCATACACCCCAACCCCCTCCCCTGACAAAATCATGCTTTTCTGAAAGGTCTGGATGTGTAGAATATTAATCTGAATGTTAAAGGGTTAGTTCACCCAAAAATGAAAATTAAGTCATTAATTACTCACCCCCATGCTGTACCAACCCCGTAAGACCTTCGTTCATCTTCGGAACACAAATAAAGATATTTTTGATTGAATCTGAGGGCTGGATCACTTTTCCATAGACAGCCTGAGGGACTGCCTCTTGACGGCCCAGAAAGTCATTAAAAGAAAAGGTTTAAATATTCCATGTGCCTACAGTGGCTCAACTATAACTTTATCAAGCGACGAGACTACTTTTTGTGCGAAAAAAAAACGTAAATAACGACTTTATTCGACTTTCCATTACTTCCTTATGGGCGCATGCGCGAGAACTGAGACGAGACCGTTCTTCTTCGACTACTTTTTGTTACCGGCTGCTCACCGCTTAGGAGTTTTACCGCCCCCTACCGTATAAGATGACGTACTGATATAGCCGGAGGCGCAAAACGTTCTGTTTACAAGCAGTACGTCATCTTATACGGTAGGGGGCGGTAAAACTCCTAAGCGGTGAGCAGCCGGTAACAAAAAGTAGTCGAAGAAGAACGGTCTCGTCTCAGTTCTCGCGCATGCGCCCATAAGGAAGTAATGGAAAGTCGAATAAAGTCGTTATTTACGTTTTTTTTTTCGCACAAAAAGTAGTCTCGTCGCTTGATAAAGTTATAGTTGAGCCGCTGTAGGCACATGGAATATTTAAACCTTTTCTTTTAGTGACTTTCTGGGCCGTCAAGAGGCAGTCCCTCAGGCTGTCTATGGAAAAGTGATCCAGCCCTCAGATTCAATCAAAAATATCTTTATTTGTGTTCCGAAGATGAATGAAGGTCTTACGGGGTTGGTACAGCATGGGGGTGAGTAATTAATGACTTAATTTTCATTTTTGGGTGAACTAACCCTTTAACATTGACATTTTGGGGATACACTACCTGTTTTAGCCCTGAATAGGGAAACTCTAAAAAAAACAATTTTAAGCTATTTTAACATGTTGAGATTGGCCTAGTTAATCAGAACAGCTTTTAGGTTACCCAATACTCTTACTACACTACATTGATAGTTACTTTAAATAGTTGTTTTTAATTATTTTTTATTTAATATAGTTAAGGCCTTGTATGGATATAATCGATCAAGGTCCATTTCCATAGTATCAGTCAACATGCTAACATTCTAACCCTCATTACCCTTTCCATCAAAGGGGTGTGGCTCACAAATCATTTCATTGACAAATCAGAAACCTGCCTGGGTTGTTCATCCAATGACAAAATAAGATATTTGTTGAATTTTCATTAATAGTTTTCTCTGTGTCAGACGGGTATATAGAGATTGTCCTGAAATACTGTTCTTACTCACACAGACAAGATCCTCCAAGTCTGCATCCTCTGCCTATACAGCTAGAAATTTGTTTCACTGAATTGCTCAATGTTTGATATTTTAGTTTACAATTTAATATAATTGACCCATCTTACTACACTACATTGATGCTTACTTTTACTTTTAGCATCAACTACATTGATGCTTACGTTTTTAATTATTTTAAATGACATTTGATAGATTAATAGACATATAGCTGTATAGACGTGAGATTAGCTGAACCACTGGAATCTGCTCACAGAATTACTGTAACCTGTGAACTTATACCAGACACTATTACAGAAGCTAAATACAACAAATCCTGTAGAGTCCAATATACACTAGGGTGACCAACTGTCCTGTTTTCCCAGGACATGTCCTGTTTTCTTATAACAATATGACAATTTTCTATCGATACAGAGGAGGCATAACCTACTTTAAATGTATTGAAATTAATAATTTATCTTTGAGTAAACTTTGAGTATCATTTGAGTAGGCCCATCTGTTTGCTGGGCCGAGTGTCCTGGTTTTTGGTAATCAAAATATGGTCACCCTAACTGTATAATATACACAAAATTTAGAAAAATGGAAAAGTGCAAGCACAGAAAACAAGGCCAAACAAATCCAACTAGTAGAAGCTCACGGTGAGGCATTCGAATAATTGACAAGGAAATCATCGGCAGCAACAAAATGATGAAATTGACTGATCTGACCAAAATCTACATAGCTCATCTGCAACGCACAAACTTCCCCAATCCCAAAATCCCAATCACATGAACATAATTCCATCTAATTTGGATACAGCACCAAATGCCTCACCATGAGTTTCTACAAGTTGGATTTGTTTGGCCTTGTTTTCTGTGCTTGCACTTCTCCATTTTTCTAAATTTTGTGTACATTGGACCTACAGGATTTGTGGTATTTAGCTTCTGTAGCAAATAGATCATTTCCTCTAATTCTGCAAAACAAATTTTCATCCAAGTTTTGTTCTGAACCTGGGTTTTGATCCTGGGTTCTCCCAAGGTTTTTTTCTCCATCCAATCTGATGGAGTTTTGGTTCCTTGCCACTGTCGCCTTACTTTTGGCTTGCTTAGTCGGGGATATTTAATATTCAACAATATATTTGACCTGTGTTGTACTACTTTTATGTTATCACTGTGAAGCTGATTTGATGCAATCTATATTGTGAAAAGCGCTATATAAATAAATGTGACTTGACTTGACTTGACCAGTTGAGGCCCTCTGACTTTGCCTTGAACTTGCTGCTAATAGTTCAGGCTTCTGGTCAAGTCTTTTGAGATTCATGGTGAATCTTTGTTAGCATTCTCTGTGATATCCATCACTTTCTGTAATGGTGTCTGGTATAAGTTCACAGGTTACAGTCATTCTGTGAGCAGATTCCAGTGATTCAGCTAATCTCACGTCTCTTATTTATTTCATTCTGGCTAATCTTGCATCAGAATCTGCTTTTGCCCATAATTGCACGAGTGGTCCATATACAAGACAAGGGACATGCACAATGCATCTGGACTTTGGTTTTGTCCCATGACATCCCCTTTGCCTTGAAGGACCTGCAGTCCTGGCCCACTGACTCATGTCTTGACTCAGACATAACTGAGCAGTTCAGCTAAAAAAAAAAAAAGGTTCTTCAGGGGTTCTTTGCGGTGGTCATGGTGCTAT